TGGTTTTACAGGAGGCGTGAAGGTGAGGAGCGGGGGATGCTGAAAGCCGAGCGCTGATCAGCGGGGTCATTAGTAAACGCTAGCGCTTTATAAACCCACATGGTCACTTCTACCCCACTTAGGGTTTTTCATGCTTGTGTTAAAACAATGCTACTTTTATCTTCCCCCATACCTGGCGAGTTCCCTTTAAAACAATTCCTCTTAGTTTTTGCCTTCCCCTTTCATCTAACACCGAGTGCCGCTGTCTCCCCCTGTGGCTTGCCACCCTTTCGCCCCAGTTCAGCGAGGCTGAAGGCCAGCTCTGCTGGGGCAAAGCCACTCGGAGAAGGTGACAGCGGCTAGTGTCCCACTTCAGCTTCTTGTCTGCCTTGAGGCGGTTAATCTCTCCAGGGAGGAGCGAAGGATCATGAGCAAGACGTGCAGAAAAGCAGCCGTGGAGGGTGGGTGGGAGCTGGAATACCTGGGTGTAAGAGCAGATGGACCCTGTAGGTGATGTGGAGCTGTGTGTGAGAGGAGAGCGGAACAAGGCACGTGGCGGGGGGTTAAGAGCCTTGGTGACTGTGGCTGGAGCAGCCGTGGCGCGTGTGTGTGCAGTTGCTCAAATCCCGCTGCCTTCCAGAGGGAGGTGAACGCTTGGTTTGCCTGGAACAAAGATAAACAGACTGTCCACTGATTTTGGAATCTTATCAGTATTTTACCGAGGAAAAAATTAGATGATTTGTAAAATACAAAATACTTTTAAATTTTTTTTCCCCCCAGAAGTAGTTACTCTGCTGACGTAAAGGGGCTTGCTTGCTCCTAAGCCATGGGGTGTTGCATTTCGGATTCTGCTTCTCAGAAGGTTGAAACATAAACGTAGAGAACATTTTCTGTTCATAGCTGAGAAGTCATTGTAATCCTAACCTTGCCTTTGCCCTGTAGCTGGCTGAGAGTATATGTTAAATCAAGAGAAACATTAGGATTAGGGCTGGAATTCAATCTGATTCAGGGAGCCACTACAAGGACCACAAGCTATTTAATTCCTCCTTTGAAGGTTTCAGGACTGATGAAGTGATACTGCACTGATCTTCTCCTTTTCTCTTCTTTTCTTCCTTTTGTTTCTGTTTTTGGAGCAAGCTTTGAGCTTAAATCGAGCTGGCAGCTTCCTTTTCAGACCTCGGCAGCTGACATCATCTGCACAGCAGTAACGAACAACAGGAAGAAAACATCTGGGCTTGGAGACACGAAGAAGAGATCAAGGCTGTAGCGCTCTGCAGAATAAAGGGGTGACCACAGTCTGTCTTGAGTGCGTCCTGCAGTCGTGAGGCCGCTCCGGCGGCTGCAGGGATGGAACATTCTTGCTCTCTGAGATGAAGGGACAAAGAGGGGGCAGTAAGCTGTTGGGTTCCCTAGGGAGAAGTGGGTGGGGAGGTCAGGACAGCACACTGCTCTTCACGTGGGAAGCCTGCAGGGTCATCTCCACGGCCAGGTCGGTCAGCAGACCTTGTGTCTGTGGTCTGTGGTGGATCGTACCCAAGGGTCATCCTGGGAACCTCGGGCTGTGGGAACGCAGCGGATGGAGCTTTCGTCGTCGGCTTTGATCTGATCTCGAGCACAGGGAGCTTGAAGAAAAAGCTTTTTGTTTTACTCTGCGCTCTCGAGCTGTGCCTGAGGACTGGAAGGAGAGCTCCCTCTGAGCCATGTGGGTGATCCCGTAGGCAGAAGTAGTTGCAATGCTCAGTTCTTGTAACAGCAGGCAGAGACTCAACCTTCATTCTTCTCTTTTAAAGGATCTGGGCTCATTCTTGCTTATTTGGGCCCTAGCTATGATGCTGTTACTTAAAACATCCCAATAACAACACCCACCCCCCAAAACCCAACCCTTCCATGAGCCTTAGCATGGAGGGGTGTAGGCCATGATCATGCAGTGCAGTTGGCCCCTTCCATTGTCCCAAGGGATGGTTAAATGGAGGAGACGTTTGCCTCTGTGTCTGAATTGCCTCTAGACTAGCGCCGAGGGTTACATCCAGCTTCCTCACAACTTACGCTGCCTCGCCTGCAGCGGCACGGCTTCCTTCCTGCCCCGGGATGCCCTGTGCCAGCCATCCTGTGCTGGGCCTTTGCCGTCTCCCGCCGGACTAGGTACAGGTTTCTGAAGGCCGTTGGCTGACCCGGCGCATTCAGGCTGCCTTCTTGTGCGTGAATGTAACGTGTTGGTGATGTTTGCCTGGCAGAGCTGCTGTGGAAGCAAGCTGTGTTCTGTTTGATGGGAGTGATGGGCGGTTTGGCTCTCAGGGAGCTCAGCAGCGCAGCTTCCATATGCGATACCTCTAATCACCAGAGCTGATTGTCGTGCGTGTAGGCACCGCTACCTCCACCCCCTCCCCTTACTGCAGCCGGCTGTGGTTTGACTTTGTCCAGGGTCTGAGGGAGCTCCCTTACCCCTTCTCCCTCCACAAACTCCCAGTAGTCATACTTGGGCAGCGTGTGAAGTGGGACGGTGACAGAGCTCTGATCCTGACCCCGGAGTCGTTCCCTGGGGCTCTGTGCTGGGCTCTGTTAACCCCTTGGTGCTTCCGGGCAGAATTTTCTAATGCCCATAAGCCACCTATCATCTCGGGCTTGATGGAGCTCTTTCATCTAAGCAGAGATGGATCTACTGGTGATGAAATGGGCTTTTTTTGGCTTTTTAGTTAGTCAGTGGGCTAAGGAAACCTGGTTAAGGCACTGGCCGTTCGTGAAAACCTGGGTTTTCTCTGTATCCTATTGGTAATGCGGAGAGAATGTTATTTTTCTCTTTGTTGTTCTTACTACTTAAGCTAAAGATTAACTTTGGCAGAGTAGCAAGAGGCTATGTACTGGCCAAGAAACAATTCGGTCTGGAAGTTAGTGGAATGTTTCTGACCTTGGGAGGAGGAGCTCCTGGAACAGAAATTGGACATATTTCTTTTTAAACAGGACAGTGTATCAGCTGGTTACATGTGGGTTGCTTTCCCCCAGGGTGGTGAAAAGCACATCCTTGATCTTCTGCCAGTCACTGGGCAAATTTTGGAGCTTTCGCTCATGGCATAGAGTTCTCTGAGGGGCAGGACACTGCTGTCTGAGTGGGCGAAGGCTCCCAGCCGCTCCTGAAGCCCCAGAGGCACTGCTGGTCGGGGCTGCGGCTGTGCTGGCGGCGCAGCAGCAAGGAGCGGTGCGTCACATCCTTCCCTGCGCAGGCTGGCACGGTACCCTGAGGAGCAAGCACAGGCCCTTTGCAGAAGCACAGATACCCTGCCTGCTGGTGTGCCCTCTGTCCCCCAGCCACCTTTGCAGGAAGGGGGGAGGGCAGGTTGGGGGGTTGTTCTGGGCAGTCTCTCGTCTCCCTGCGACATCTGCACGTCTCGGGCATCGGGGGTGCCGCTGCCGGCGCGAGCGGCTGAAGCTCGCGGGTTGCCCAGGAGAGCAGCGCTGCTTTTGCGACAAGTCCAGGGCTCCCGGTGTGAATCCAGTGCTTGAGGCAGCGCAGAAACAGTGAACCTGGGCTGGCGTGTCGGCGTGGGGGCGAAGCAGGGCTCTGCACTTCTCAGGGAGCAAGTCGGGCCCAAGGAGTTGTCTCTTAGCCCAGTTGTGATTTCAAGCTATTGCCGAGCCGGTGGCAGCCCCGCTACTCACCAGTGAAGTGAGAAATAAACTCCTGTAACTTCTCTGCTGACAGTTGACCTAACTTTATTTTTTTGTGCGATGCGTGTAAACGCAAGCCAGGGCGGGCGCTTTCCTCCGCAGTCACCCCTGGTTTGTGACCCCTGAAATCCCGTGGGCTTTTCCTGCTCTCTCAGCAGCAGTGCAGTCTCCGAGATGCTGGCTTGCTGCTTCCATTTCCCTGTGTCTGGTGAAGATCCTGGGCACCCCGTGCGTTCACATAAACCCGTGGATGCTTGTCTCGTCACCGGGAGGTACACTAGACCTTCAGATCCAAACCTCCTGTTACCCTTTGTGGCTGTGCTGCGTCTCTAGCACTGATGGACTATCCTGTCGCTGAGCCCAGTTGCTGCTGGACCTGTTAGGCTGGAACAAGGATCAGACGGAGCAAATGCCAGAGAGAAGCAGGAGCCTCTTGCTGTCAGGAGGTGTTTCTCCAGCCATGACAGGCTGTCAGCCCTGCCTCTTCCGCTCCCCACTCGTATGCCGTCTCTGGAAGGTGCTCTGCTCTGGGACGCTGATCCACGCGTGGAGTCGGTGGTTGTCACTGCGTACATGCCAGCAGTAATGCATCTTTGCATTCGTTGGATGTCTTCTCTAGCATCTCCAGAGGCACAGAGTCACAGCTCGAACGTGAGGTGCTGAGGACTGGAAGCTGCTGACTGATGCTCACAGGGGGTCTTGCCTGGGTCACTGTCCGGTTGTCACCCAACAGGGCAGCGGTGTTTGTGGAGCTCTCTGCAGTGGTGTGCCTTTGCTGCCCCAGGAATTGCGTTTGCTCCATTCACAAACAATTGCAGTAAACAGGCTGTAGTAATTGAAGTGTTTCCTTCAGCTGTGGTGCCCTGATCAGCTTCCTGGCTGCGTCCTCAGGTGCGGGCGTTTCGAGACCAGGTCTTTCCAACGTTTTGAGGGGAAGGAGACGTCTTTGCTTTTGCAGCAGCCTCTACAAAGCATGCTTTCTGTCCTGGATGTCCAGGAAAGCCACTGCACCGGCCGTTTACCAATGCTCTGTTGTCTTTCCCAGTTGATCACGTGGTTCCGGAGCCAGGGACCAGTTTGCTGACTGCGTTCGACCAGTGGCGAGAGTGGGCAGACAGCAAGTCCTGCTGCGACTACTCCCTGCATGTGGATATCACCGAGTGGCATAAAGGTGTCCAGGAGGAGATGGAAGCTCTGGTTAAAGATCATGGTAAGCTTGGTTAGGGAAAGCTCAGAGAAACCATCCCCCTCTTTACTGTTTAGGACTGGCTTCCCTCTTTTTTTAGGGCTGGCTCCTGTGAAATATTTTAGGCTCAGGTCTCAGTAAAGCTGCTGTGGACCTGACTGACTCGGCCCATTCTGGCCTGTTGCGGAGGCTTGGACAGTCGCCGTAGCAGGAGGCTCAGGGGGACGGCACACACGGGTGTTGCTGCAGTGTGTTAGGGGGGTGAGCACTGACTTGGAAGAGGTGAGTCTGCTGCCCCGCAGAGGAGCCTTTAGCTTCGTGGAGGTCCTTTGATTTTTGTTAGTGCAGGTAGGCGATAGGTTTGGCAATTAAACTGTTGTAAACAAGGGAAGAATCAGGCCCAGAAGTAACAACCCAGCACTGCTTGCTAAAAGTGGAGAAGAGCTGTGTAAAACCACCTCACAGGTTTTCCCCCTCTTTAACTTCCTTAACTTTCATCCTTAGGCTAGAGTAGTTTTCTGTCCTGTTTGTAGTCTGAAACCCAGACTCTTCCCTCCTAATGAGTGCTTCCCCTCCGGTGCTGGGTAGGAGCTTGTGCCGGCTGGGAAGGCAGGAGCGGGGCTTGGTCAGGGCAGACACGGAGGAGGGCGTGCTGGCCGACACGCATCTCCCGTCGCTCTCACAGGAGGGAGTGGGGGATCAGGCAGCCAGGCCCAGTCTCTGCTTTTGGGTGTGATCCATTTTGCTTATTTTTTTACTCAACCTCCTACAGTACTGAATCCACAGAACTATTCTTATTTCCATGTGAAGTGGAAGCCTGGGGGTTTTGCTGTCCCCACGGCTGGAGTGCAGGCTCCTCTCTTCTCGTGGGTTGTGTTAATAGACGCCACGTGGCCGCGGAGATCCTCGCTGTGATCTGTTGGGAGTGCGTGTGCCTGCGTGCACGCGCGTGTGTGTGCACTTTTCACAGCAGGTTAAAGCCATTCACCTGTCCAGCCACCCTCACTGCTTGCGGGGGACGCCTCCTCTCTGCGGGGAGCAGCGTTCCGTGCGTCTCCATCCCTGCAGTCTGTGTGTCGACGGTAATTCCTTTGCTCTCTTTCTGCCAGGTGTGAACTCCTTCTTGGTGTACATGGCTTTCAAAGACCGCTTTCAGCTAACTGATTCTCAGGTAGGAGGGCTTGAAGCGCACGTGTTTCTGTCACTGCAGGCTGTCTCTCGTACAGGGTTGCAATCACGCGTGGTTCGGACATTCTCTTGGTGTCAGTGCGTCGGGTTTGCGGCAGCACCCAGAGCTCTGGCTTAATTAAAGAAACAACCAACCCTGTGAGGCTTGGCTGTGGAAAGCAATGCCAAACCCCTCGTTTTGAAAGATCTGAGGTTTTCTTCCAGCTCTGCTGTCGTGGAAGCAGCACAGTTGGTGAATGGCTGCTTCCTGCCAAGGCGATGGTGGGATCTGTGGGATCTGCATGGGCTGAACCTGATCCTGCCCCAGAAGGGGTCTCTGCCATTAGCATTAGGATCGCTGGGAATTGCCCTCCCATTTGCTATTCTAGTGGCTACATTTGTGGAGGTTTAATTGTTGAGATGGGTGGTTTGTATTTCTAAACGTGGTGGGAGGAGAGGAATGTCTGGGAGTGATTGGGAGCGGCTGCGGGGCAGTTATCTCTAATGACTCTGGTAAACATCTTAATGAGTGACCACTGATGGAGCCGTTGTTGGGGGACACTCGAACTGGCTGCTGGAGTGGGAAATCACACGGCTCCCAGCCCAGGCAGGAGAGGGGTGGGTGCAGAGGGCTCCGTGAAAGTCAGGTGCGAGGTGGTTCTCTTCATGCCAGGCACCAGTAAATGAAGGCATGAAACAGGCACAACTCTTGCTAAAATCACTCCAGGTGTAGGCCTGTGCAGCTGCTGTTTCTTTCTCCAGAGTGGTAAATACACCCAAACCTGGCTTCTGCATAGCGCTTCTTTGCCGTGTCGGTAACTTCCAACTGTACAGGTTGGGAAGTGTCGTTGTAGGCAGGAAAATGGATCATATCTATCCAGCAAACCACATCTTGTGTTTCTTCATGCTGCTTTTCTCTTTTCCGTTCTGCAAAACTGGGGGTGCTGGAGGAGTCTGGGGCAGGCACTGTGTAATCGGTGTGTACCCGGGTGTGTACGCGGGTGTACCGTGCCACGTCTGTTCTGTCTTCCAGATATACGAGGTCCTGAGTGTAATCCGGGATATTGGTGCGACAGCTCAAGTGCATGCTGAGAACGGTGACATCATTGCTGAGGTATGTTGTGTTTATTCTGGGGGTTGTTAACTACAAAACGCTGGGAGGGATTTACATTCTAAATCCTTCTTTGCAAGCAGAACCAGGACTGTTAGAAGCGTGGCATAGCTGCATCAGGGATGCAAGCAGGGCTGGGCATCAGATCTCGTCCCCTTGATGGTCACTGGGATGGGAGCGGGTTTTCACGGCAGCTGTCGGTTCGTGGGGCATGTCGGCCACCTCTGCCTTTCTCCTCGTGACGGGCTGTGCCTGGCTGTGACCTTCCCTGCAGACCATAACCTGTTCTGCAGTAGCTAAGGGCAGCGGGAGTGGGAAGGGAGACGGCTTCCCACACTGCCTGGGACGCTGGTGTTTGCAACAAAGAGGAAACGTTAAGGATGTGTTCGGATTCTACCTGACCTCCGGCTCCATCTGTGTTCTGTTCCCAGCATGCAGAGCTTGGTGCTGCAGAGGATTTCTGTGTCGTCTGGCAGGGGAAGAGCCCGCTTGAGTCTTTGAGCCCTGTCACCTGCAGTTGCAGGGTGATTTTTTCATGAGATACTGTTTTCCCACTTCCTTAGGGGTTACTTTACAGATGCACATGAGTAGTGAACGTTGAGGGGCTGTGAACCCAGTGGGAGGCAAATGAAAATAAGAAGGTTTCCCTGACTGCCTGTGAACAGATCAGCAAGGGGTTTGTGAGCTCTGGTTAGTCTCAAGAGGGGAAGTTGGACAGGACTCTGGTTGTAAGGCCCTTATGTAAAGCCCCGTGCGATTATTAGTTAGCAGAGGTGCCTAGGATACCACCTGTACCTCTTTCAAACAGCAAGAAAAAATGCTTGTTGCTTTAAATCTTTCTCCTGCTGTTGTTTTCTCTCTGCCTTAAGGAGCAGCAAAGGATCCTGGAGCTGGGGATCACAGGCCCTGAAGGGCATGTCTTGAGCAGACCTGAAGAGGTGAGGACTTTACTGTGTTTGCATTTATTCCCCCTGCTGATAACATGTCTGTCTTGCCATCAGGTACTTTGGATTGGGATGCCTGTGGCCAGAAACAGCGTCTCATCCTGGCTAGAGGAGTTATTGCTGCGTGGCGTGAGGGGAGAGGGGAAGATGCTCCTAGGGACTGACTAGTACCTGGTCCCCTCTAGAGACTAACTGCTGTGGGTGCTTATGGGGAACTGAGGAGCCCACTCAGCTTCTGCCCTGGGGAAGGGGACACCTCCAGGGAGCAGTTTGTCCAGCCTAAGGTTTGATTCCCCCCCTGAAATAGCTGATTTTTTTCTGTTTGTGGGCAGAGGTAGGCTATGAGGGCTCTGCTCACACATCAGGGGTCTAAAGTGAGGTGTCTTCGAACCACGGAGCCCATGCTAAGCACTTCAGAGACAGAGTGCTGTTAGCACATCTTCAGTTCAGTCCCTTGGGAGCGCAGACTGGAATCCCACAGGAGGAGATGTGGAAGACGTTGAACCTGAAGCCCAGGTAGAGCCCCAACAGCCTGAATCGCCAGTGAGTTGGTTCTTCCGCTGCACAGGAACACTTTGAGGTGGAGGCCCTGAGATGTGCCGATGATGTTGGTGCTAGAGCCTGAGGTTCTTGCAGTTTCCCATCGCTTTCAGTCAAGTTATGCATGAGTAAAGACTTCAGGATTTGGGTTTATGTAGGCAGGATTCTGCCACTGACTTTCCTAGATCCCATCTCTTGGGCTGCTCTCTCAGTCCTTATTTATGAAGAATTCCTCTGACTCAGCGGAAATGTTCAACATCCGTCCAAATCCTGACATTCTGGCACGGGCATCGCTTCCATTACCATAGCATTTGATCATTTGATGAACATTTTACCGATGGTGGATTCTTTACACCAAGGCACGAAGCGGTTTGCTGAAGGCGTAGAGGGTATGTACCAGAGAGGGAGCCTGTTTTCGCATCCTGGCCCAGCACTTGATTATAGTTAACCTCCGTGCTTCCCCATCGATTTCTCTAGGGTCAAGCACCCCAATTCCTCTCACCCCCTCTTTTAATTTAAAAAGGAAATCTCAAGAATGAGAACGATCCTTGTAACTTTGTTTTCAGGTTGGTTCCCGTTGCATCTTTCATTTCCAGTCTCTCTAAACCAGACATCTCGCCGTGGCATTCTGCATTCGGGAAGTCCATCCGTTACGTACAAGCTGTTCTTTTTTGTTCCTCCAAGATACCAGGGCTTTGCTGGCTGCCAGATGTGGCAGCTGGGTGTGTGAGATCATCCACACGTGTCCCTCATGCTCCCTCTCTATCTCCTCCCCTTGGTTCAGACAAGCAGCATCCAGAGACATTTCAGGAGGAGTATAAATCATTCTGTTGCTTCATGCAGAAGGGGAAACAGAATACTTGAGTTGAGCAGCCTGTGAGTCCTCACAGAATCTCTCTTTGGCTCCAGGAGCTGGGAGTCTTGGCTTCCTGGAAGTTGCCAGCAAACGCTTGCACTGAGCCTTCCACCCCTCTGCCCGTGCAAGAGCAGGAGCAGATTGCCGACGTGACGCTTGCGCCTCATCCGTGGAGCACCCCTGAACTTCTCTTGGCTTCAGAGGAAGGCTGCTCCCTACTGACGGGGCCTGGCCATCAAACGACCCAGGTTTTGCCTGGCTGCTTCAGAGCTCATCCTTCGTGGAGCAGGAGCTTTCGGGGGTGAGCGTGTGGCCTCCTGGCCTGGCTGGTTGGTATGCCTGCCTCTCGCCCCTGGGGAAGTGTCTTCATTCTCCGCGTAGCGAGGACGGCTGCCTAGGGACATGCGTCTGCCTCGGCTGAGGGCCGGTGGAGCCTTTCCCAGCGTCCCTGGGCAGCCCCTGTGCGGCTGAACTCGGCTCTGCTGCCTGCCCGGCGGGGAAACGCTTGGTCCAACATTCTCCTTTAATGGGGTGAGAAGCAGAGCAGGAAACAGTCTCATCTGGTTCCCTCCCCTCCTTTGCTCCCACGATGGAGTACCTTTGTGTTTTTAGAAGCACACAACTCCCTTGGAGCTGGCTGGTTCCCAGAGTGGCAGCAGATCCATAACTCCTGTTGACTCGGTGGGAAGGGGTCTTTCGTGGTATCCTGCTGGGATGCTGTTAACGCTACAATTGGCTTTTCACTCTGCCTCCTACGGAGTGTAAAGCCTGTCCAAGGGACTTTTCGATGGTTGTCATCTTACTGAAGAGCTGCTTAATTCAGACCTTCTATAGCGAGCGAGCAGGCGCTGTCGAACGAGTCTGCAATAGTTACTCAGTCAGAACTCCCACTCAGTTCAGTGAGACATGTCAGAGTGAAGGATTCAGGGTCTGGCCGTGTGCATTTCATAGAATCATGAAATGGTTTGGGTTGGAAGGAACATTAAAGGTCATCCAGTCCCCCCCCCTGCCATGGGCAGGGACACCTTCCATAGCCCAGAGTGCTCCAAGCCTCATCCAGCCTGGCCTTGGACACTCCCAGGGATGGGGCATCCACAGCTTCTCTGGGCAACCTGTGCCAGTGCTCCCACCCTCTGCGGGAAGAATTCCTTCCTGATGTCCAATCCAAACCCACTTTCAGTTTAAACCCATTTGTATCTTACTTGGAACGGACGCATCTTCTGAATTCCCAGGTTGAGCAGAAGGCAGGAATGAGGGCGCAGGTTTCACCGCTGACTCACGGGGCTGGCTTGCTCTCCTGTCACCTGGGTTGAGCCAAGGTGACGGTAGTCAGCGTGTTCCAGCCAGCAAAGGAGCCTTAACTGAGGCATCACCGTCCTTTTCTGGGAACCACTCCTTCTCATAGCTCAGATCACTCTCTGAAGACTTTTCGGAGCGATCCATCGGCTTTTGGTTTTATTTTAGCCACAAAAACGCTGGAAGCAGAAGGAGTCCAAGCGCTCCAGGAAATGTCTGTCTTTTTTTCCAAGAGAACTGCTGTGCTAGGGCTTCTGATGCATACTGGTAATTGCAAACATTCCCCTTTGGACTACTCCTTGGGTTATTGTTATGTGCCTGTCACCGTAGCATCTGGGCACAAGGCGTGAGTTCAGCAGCCGTATTCTCTTCCGTGCAGATAATGGTCTCCTCCTGCTTAGCAGTTGCTGAAATGCCTTTTGGAGGAAGGTCTGGAGACGCGTGTTGCGTTATCCCTGCTTTGCAAGTGGGGAAACTGAGGCACAGCGTGGAGGCACGACTTCCAAGTGCTGCGATGACAGAGCTGTGCGCAGCCCTGCTTCGGGGGAGCGGTTTGCAAACCGATGCCGTTGCCTGGAAGCATTGGTCCGTCTGACTTCTCTCCTTGTCTCTCAGGAGGGATGAGTGTGCTTTTCTTGGCTCTTCCTTTCAGCCTTCATCTTCCCTGCAAGTGCTTTTGGCTGTGGCACGCTCGAGTCAAATGTCCTGGGATAAACACCCTTCCTTGCAGCCTTTTCTGTTGGCGTCGGGCAGCTGGGACAGAAAACGTCCCGGTCTGTGTCACCCTGCCCGGGGAGGGTTAGTCACAGCCCTGGTGTGGTGACAGGCTAGGGCTTTAACCCTTTTGGCACTAGAGACCAACCTGCTGGCTCGGGGGTGGGGGCTGGTTTTCTTTTAACCCCTCTCCAGCTGTCGTGTTGTCTTCCTGGAGGAGCCCAGCTGCAAACAGCATGTGGGGGGCTTTGGCGGGGGGAGCAGAGCTCGCTTGGACATCAGCATGGAGAAGACACCGTTTCCGAAGTCCGTAATTCTGGTACTTCCTTCGGTGGATAGAGCGCAGTGCTAGGAGCCAGCGGTCTGTGCGTTCCGATTCCGGGACCGGTGACGCTTTCCAGTGCTCAGCCAGCGCTAAGCCACGGTAGAGCAGATTTCCGAAAGTGCTGAGCCTCTGCCCATCCCGCCGGCATCCATGGGAGGTGCTGCTGGCCTCTTGCGTTTGGGAATCAGGTGGCTGATTGCTCTGGGTTTCAGCTTCCTCTGTTGCTTGCTTGGAAAGAGCGGTCTTGCAGGCTCAGTTTTCCCTGGCTGCAGGCACCGGGAGCAGTTCCCGGTTGTTACATCAGTCGTCTGGGCTGCTGTGAGCAGGATGCGTGACCTGCAGAAGTCTGCAGGGATGATGTTCCTTCTGAGGCTGGGGTGAGAAAGCGACCCGCAGCCTCGCTGGGGTTATCTCCCTGCACGCGCAGGAAGGAGCGGTGCTCTGTGGGGTGGTTCGCGCTCCGTCAGATCCCAAGCCGGGTACTGTAGCGGAGGGTACAATTTAGGAGGCTGGTTTGCAAACGTGGCTTACCAGAGTATGTGGCCACAGCATCTCTCTTCCGCGTGGGCTGGAACACGAAGAGGTTGTTGAGTCGACATGTAGTTGCGTATTTTTGTCTAGGTTAAAGAAGGGGCTAAATCGTTCTGACCTTGGGCACCTGGGGTGTTATTTTAGGGCTCGGTCTGCTTGCAGAGGAACTCTGAGGCAGCCTGGGAGAAGCGATAGTAATGAGAGGGGATTACAGCTTGATGTCATTGTAGTGGTCGTGAGTACACTGTACATTTTTCCGTCTCACAATTGGAGAGGTGGGAAGTCTCTGCACACCCCGTTTTCCCGTGACCCTCTGAAGGTGAGTGGGATATGCTGACGTGTGGGGATGTTACAAACTTGCTGCTGACTTTGTTTCTCAGGTGGAGGCAGAGGCTGTGAACCGGGCAATAACCATCGCCAACCAAACCAACTGCCCCCTCTATATCACCAAGGTGATGAGCAAAAGTGCTGCTGATGTCATTGCTCAAGCCAGGAAAAAGGGTAAGTTACTTCCCCTGGATGGAAACACCCTGTTAGCTCATGCAGCTTCCAACTCCTTGCCAACAAAAGCTTTATCCCTGCAGGAAGGGTTTATTTTTCCAGTGTTACCGTCCAGGCTCTTTTTTGAAAGGTCCCAAGCAACTGCTTCTGCCTCATCTCCCACAGACAAGTATTCAGTGCTCGTATCAGTGCCAGGAGCTGTTTCTTCTGCTCAGCCTCGATTTTCACACTCATCCTGCCACACTGAGCCATATGCCTTCATATCGTTGCAGAGTAATTCCATGCTGTCTCCGTTTAGTGAATCCTCCTGGAGATTGCAAGCTGTGTCCTCCTTCCAGCTGCTGTGGTCTTTCCCTGATGCTTTCTGCTGAGCTCCTTCCTGGGGTCAGAAGTGATTCCAAGAGTCCCGACGGAGGTCTCTGACTCACAAGCCCTGTTGGATTTAGTTGGAGTACCCAAAGAGGTTACTGATTCCAGCTATCCACTGTGCTCCTTGCTTGTGGAGTAGATATTCCTCATGGGCTGTAACTCACAGCCTGGCATCCAAACAGGAGCTGGGGTCAGTAGCCTGGGTTAGGCTGGGAATTGCAATCACCTCTGATAACTGCCTGATGCTGCTGCAAGAAGCCAGTCACTGACCTGCCGTGGATGCTGCTGCCTCGTGTCTCCTTTCTCTGAGGACAGTGAGGGGCCTGTGCTGCTCTGAGCGATGCAGTAGCTTCTCCCGAGTCCTGACCCTGCTGTCTTGCCCCCAGGGAGCACGGGTTGCAAAGCACAGTGGGTGCCTGTCTCCTTGCTTTGTGCTTTGACTAAACCCTTCATTTCTATTTAAAGCAGCTCTGGGTGGGTGAGTAAGCAGGAGGGCTGATTTTCCCCCTTCTTTCCTCAGAAGGGTTGGAGTTAATTTTATGCAGTCTAAATAAGCCTGAATGGATATACAAATGACATCACTTTTCCATCTGGGTGTTTGGTGCGAGAAAAGCTAATTTCCTACCGCAGCAAACAGATTTATGTTTCTGTATTGGCTTGGAAGTATTTTGGTCCCATGATTCCTGTTAAATGAGTTCAGAATTGGACAGGAGGACTGATTCCAAGGCATCTCTCTCTGTTCGTGGCGTGGAAGCAGCTCAGACTGTTTGGGATAAACCTTCCTCTGCTGGCTCCATTAGTGGAGATCACGCAGAAATGAGAAGATGTGTTGACACGGCAGAGTGGCTGCGTGTTGCATTACCCCAGAAACCAACTTGATGTTGCTGTGCAACCCAGTCCTGTAAGCCAGGGAAGCACCCCTTCCTTTTGCTAAGTAAAATACCGGAGGCATATGCACCACAGAGACAGAGCATCAACAAAACCACCTTCTTGCTGTGCTTGCTGTCCCCTGAGGCAGCTAGCTGGTGAGCAGAGAGGGGCATCAGGGTGAGGGAGCGTACATTCCTATCGCAGAAGCCATAAAAAACGCTGACTTGGCTGGATGTTATCCAGACTCTGAAAGGTGCTGGGATTGTCCCAGGGGGAATGATCCACAGGACTCGCTTTACTTAGCCTCCAGAGTGAACTGGCATATGCAGTTCTCATTCAGATTGCATTTTCTCCCTATCAGGAGAGTTTGGGTATAAACGGCACGCCATTCTCTCCTCCTTTATTTAAGTAATTCAGTTGAAATGCTGTGCAGTTGCCCAGCTGGGTAGCCCAGGGAGGCCACACACACCAGCCTTGCCCTCCCAAGCGACAGAGGAAACAGCTGAAGACTATCCAAGGCGAAAACAAAACAGAATTGATTTGCTAAATGGAAAAGAATGAATGTTATTTAAAGCCAGATGTTCCCAGTGGCATTTGTATGGAGGAGATTCCCTGCAGACTCCGCTGCTGGCAGATCTGGGAGCTCAGGGCATCGCTCCCTGCAGAACAATCCTCGCAGTGTATTGGCCCACAACAGGCTGCCCATTAATGGCCAGCGTGTGTTTTGCCTTGTTCTGATTTCCTAACCCCCCTTCTGGCAAGAGATGTCAGACGGCCTCTTCCTCTGCCGGCGGATCCCCTCTGGCAAAGGCTGTTCCCGCACCTCCTGTTGCAGTGTGGTCCTGGCAGCAGCATGGAGCCGGATAACGCGTTGCTCTGCCTCACCAATGCGCTCTTTCCCAGCTGACCTGAGAGCCTGTAGACGTAACCCTCGCGCAGAAACAGGTGGGAGATGGTATTTTGGTGTTGTGCACGGGGGGTGGCACCACCCTGCTGACCAGTTCGGGGGCTGCCAGTCTTTTCTGATGGAAGAATTCAGGATTGGCATTTTCACCACCCACGTCTTCTGCGGGCAGAGGCAAAGACATGACATGTCGGGGCTCCAGCGCCAGGTGGATAGGCACTTCCCAGAGATCTCAGGAAGGTTTGGTTTGGCGAGCGGCTCTGCCCGACTGCCAGCCTGCTCCGCGTCTGAAGTTGCAGCGTCTTGCGTTTTCTTCTTGCGCAGATGTTGCTGGTGCATTCCAGCTTGCCAAGTGTCGTGGCCTTAAGGATGGGCTGTTCCTTCATGTGGTTCCAAAAATGTTAATGGAGAGGAAGGATGCAGCGGCGGTGAGCACACTGGACAGAGTCTGAAGATCCCATTTCATTTCCTAGTTCTGCCACAGATGAGCCATGTACCCTTGGGGGAATCACTCGGTTTCCCTGAGCAGCATTTGTGACCCACAAGCGATAATACTTCCTCTGATGGGCTTTCTCTGTAGGCAGTAACGTTCCCCGGCAGGAGTTTTCCCTCACCTGACGTACGCACAGTGCCTGCTCCGCTAAGCCAGCCTGCTTGGATCCTTGATACACACAGCTGTAAAAATACGGCAGGTGCTCTTTTCTTCATTCCTCCACGTTCCTTCTGGATCAGACTGGATCTCCTTGTGCTCCTACAGTTCCCCTCAGCTTCTTCCGTAAGGTTCTTGGCCCAGGATACAGCACAGTGAATGGTACCGTAACCCTCTCAAGCACAATTAATCAGTGCCGACCCCAGCATTTGTGTAACGATGCTGTGCACAGAGTGCTGCTCCAAGCCGTTGTCACTACCAGCATCTTCGTTACTAACTCGGGTACTGAGCTGTTTGGATACTTAGGCTAAGGGACTGATTTTTGGGAAACAGGGTTTCGTTAGGGATCTCAAGAGAGGCGTATGAAATTTGCGTGTGGTAACATGCTGCTAGTAACACAACACAGTTAACAGGAGCGTTCAGCGGGCCCGGAGTTTTAATTGGCCAGGAGCTGATCATCTGGTTATGCCGGACAGTGGATTCAATCCAGTGTTGTGTCTCTGCGCTCACACACCTAAAAGGAAGCACGCAGAAACCCCGCGGCGCGTGATGCGGGCGTAACCTACCCGCCCTGTCCTTTTTCAGGAGGATGCTTCATGCCTGGCAGCCAGGCTGGAGATGCATGTTGCTTGGTGCTCACAGTGGGTCTGTCCCTGTTCCTGTCCTGTAGGCACTGTGGTGTATGGAGAGCCCATCACAGCCAGCTTGGGCACCGATGGATCTCATTACTGGAGCAAGAACTGGGCTAAGGCGGCAGCTTTCGTTACTTCCCCACCACTGAGTCCTGACCCAACCACTCCCGACTTTCTCAACTCGCTGCTGTCCTGGTGAGTGGGGCTCTCTGTGTTCATACACCATGTGCTTTGTCACGAGGCAGGCGGGTGGCAAGGACAATAGCTGTGGCTGTTTTACCTTGAGGAGTTAACCTGTGACCTGTCTTTTCCAGCGGAGACCTCCAGGTTACTGGCAGTGCCCACTGCACCTTCAACACTGCTCAGAAAGCTGTCGGGAAGGACAACTTTACCCTGATCCCTGAAGGAACCAATGGGACTGAAGAGAGGATGTCCATCATCTGGGATAAGGCCGTGGTATGTCACGTGTCGTAGGCGAAGGCTGCTGCTAGACTTACAGAGCTGCAGCAGCGTGTTCTTACTCCTCCCAGGTGCTTGTTACGGTCCTCCTGCCTCAGGATTTTGCCTCGCAGAGATCACTGGGAATCTGTGGTGCTGTCAGCTGTTGGCTTTTCGGAGTGGTCCCTACCTGCCTAATGCAGTGACTCCTTTTATCTTCCCCAGGTGACTGGGAAGATGGATGAGAACCAGTTTGTCGCTGTGACCAGCACAAATGCAGCTAAAATCTTCAACCTGTACCCACGGAAGGGCCGTATTGCAGTGGGCTCGGATGCCGATCTCGTCATTTGGGATCCTGACAGCGTGAAGACCATCTCTGCCAAGACTCATAACATAGTAAGGATATTTTCTGTGCTCTGAGCTCTGCTGCTCATTGCCTCATCTCTGTCCTACCAAGAGCTCATGACAACTCAGGGCTTTGTTCTTGCGACGTCCCAAGCCCTCTACACCCAGTACAGCTCGGTTGTGTGAGCAGAGGGAAGACGATTGGGTCTGAATCTGAAATCTCATGGATACCCAGAGATTCCCCTTGGAGCAGAGAGATTGTCTGCCCTTTCTGAGTGTTGGGTGCTTGGGTCTGAGCACGCAGAAAGCTCTTTAAATCTTACCACCGCCTGTCATTTATGACCGTCCGGCTTGCGGGCAGTGGCAGTGTGGACGACCCCTTTTCTAGCTGGGGTCAGTGAAGCTTGCCAGCTTGTGGACACCTTTGCTGGAGATGTGATCCACATCAGTGAGCGTGACGGGATTCACACACGGACTCCCCTGGCGCCCGTGTGTGGAGTCGTGCTTGGACGTGATTTTCCTGGTGATCATCTCAGCGTTCCTCGGTGCAGGGAGGCACAGGGCAGTGCTCAGACTGAGCAGACCTTCCCCCTGTTTCTTCTGCGGCTTTGTGGTGGCCCCGGTAGAGGCAGTGTTTGCGTGTGGCCCCAGCCATGTCCGGTATCTTACACCTGGCTCCTGCAGTGAAAAAGCTGTCCCACCCTGTGGGAATCTGCAGAACGGTCCCAGAGCAAAGGGCTGGGAGGAGTCTCCCTGTGACAGTCGAGCAGTGTCTCAGAGAAAGCAACCACTGTCTGCATTTGTTGATGGCTTGTTTCACTGCTGGCGATGAACCTATGGAATGTGTCTGTGGAAAAAAACTCCTTATTCTTTTTTCCGTGAATGCTTTCATTCACTCAGGAGCTGAAGGAGCAAAATTTTCTTCCACACTTGAATCCCTGGGCACATTCACAAAGAAACTTTTTTAAAAGGTTTGGTTCGCTTCCCTGTGACTTAACTCTGTCAGGATTGGGGACAGACAGCCTGGATTCATCCTGCCTATGCGTAGGCTTCTAACAGAGGCATCCAGACTCAGAAGTCTGGTCACTTTTACCACCGTAGAGGTGCTTCCAGACTTGTCACACCTCCAGTCTGGAGAGGAAAGGCTCAGAGGAGGGAGCCCAGGGACACACCACTTTTAGGTGCCAAGCTTAGTGGTCTGGACCTGAGTTTGTGCTTATGAATGGCTCAGAGGGCTGGAAGTAGCTTGCTGGATGGAGTATTTGAGAGTCACTGCCATTTAATGGCTGTTTTCTTTAGGAAATGAATTGGACTCTAAATTTCCGAACGCGAAACTCAAGAGACTTTCTTTCTGGATATGCTCCAGTACAGTCAGGGTTAACTCCATGAGTTTGCCGTAAATCTGGGCTAGGCAGATCCACCGTGGAGCGACCACTCAGAAGTACTTTATGAGTGAACTCCTGCCCACGTCAGAGGCCTCAGCCCTCTGTGATCAGCCGTTGCCAAAGGCTGCACCTGGAAGTTGTGCCAGGACTGCGGAGAATGAAGGGCTCACGTTTTGGGGTAGTTTGTTCAGAGCTTGAAGAGCTGCCTAAGAAATCACAGCTCTTTCTCGTACGCGTTCAGCTCTGACCGCTTCCCCCGTCTCCCGTTAGACCACGTGTGAGGCCTGTTCCGGTGTCTGACACCGCACGCGTGCCTTGTGTTCGAGGAGAGATTGGTAGGGGTGAAGCCTCTAGAGCCAGACCAGCCTGGTTTGGTCAAGTGTAAAACAAAGGCCCCTTTGAAAGTCAGGGAGAGTGGCTGCTGCCGCACGGCGAGACGTAGCGGTGACGTGGCATCAGGTGACCGCTGCGTTTTTCAGTGCTGCAGCAAAATACAGCCGTTTCCCACGAGCTCGCACCGCTCTTGCCACTGCCTGGCAAGGGGACGTGGGGAGCTGGAGAGGGAGATAGTGTTGTTCTTGGAAGCAGCCTAAGTCATAAGCTTCTAACCAAGCCGCCTCCTTGGCCACAACATTTTTTCAGCCTGGGTTCAGCGTCGGTTTAAGCGTCCCTCCGGCTAATTGCAAACCTGCAGTCAGGCCTGCCCATGCTTCCAGCACACTTCAGGGGCAAACTCCACGGTTAACTCAGCGAAGAAGACCTGGATTTGTCTCAGAGATGGTCACTGGAGTGACAGTCCCCAGGTAACGTGGCGGTAGGGCATCTCGTTCCAGGATGCTTCGCGAGTGGGACATTCACCAGTGATTCCTCAGCACTGGTCTTCTTCCCGTAGTGTAATGTTTCCAATCCTGTTACTTGAGGATGAGCAATCCCATTAGAGGAAAACAAGATTGTCCTGGTCCCTGACCCTTCACCAAAACACTGGTTTGAGATACAGCTTTTCAAAATTAGCATTGTTTTTAGTGTGGAACTCAGCTAAAACTTTATTGGGCTCCAAAAGGCCCTGCAGTTTGGAAGAGAGAGGTGCCTGAATGCCTTGAAACAGGTCAGCTTTGAGACAGTCTCGTTTGAAACTGTATTTCCCCTTTCGAATCTTGTGACAGTGGAAATTTTGCCTAAGTAAATCCTTAATAAATTTAGGCTGATAATAGAGACTGGCCTTTCTGCTGAGCCACAGCACATACAGCTCAGGTGAACGCTGTTGCGTTTGCTTCCTTCTGTCTGGAAAATACTGGCGATTAGCGTGACTGGTGGTTGCTAATTAAGCACAGCAGGCTTTGCTGGAATGAGTGTGTTTGCCTCGTGTCGTCTTGCTTGCTTTAGGCTCTGGAGTACAACATCTTTGAAGGCATGGAGTGCCGCGGCTCTCCGCTGGTGGTGATCAGCCAGGGGAAGATCGTGCTGGAGGATGGGAATCTCCACGTCACCGAGGGATCTGGACGATATATCCCCAGGAAACCCTTCCCTGACTTCGTCTACAAGCGTATCAAAGCCAGGAGCAGGGTGAGTCTAAGTGGCTGGACGCACGTTTGTTCGCTCGCTGAAACCCCTGAGATCAAGTGGTAGGAAAACAGACGCTGTCGCCGGCCATAGGCACACGCTTCTGGAACAGATGTTCCTTGGGTAGGAGCCACATCTACTACCTCATTCCTCTTTCATTTTTGCTATTCACTTCAGTCATTACAGGAATTTGCTTTGGCTTGAGCTGGCATTTTCTGCAAATTCTGTTTTTCTGTTCTTTGATTCTTCCCTGTCTTGGGACACCTGGAGAGAGCGTGTGTCCGGGAGCTGTCTGCTTTGGACATGAGTCAACCTGCCCAAAACCCAGCGGGCTGCTCCTGTCACAGGAGCACCAAGAGAAATTACCGAGAGCATTTGTTATATCAAACCTTTCAGCAACAATTTAGAATTCTGATTTATTGTCATAAACCAGCGTGATGCTGCTTTCCCTTCTGTCAGATACGATCAGGTGCTCCTGTCTGGTGACTGGTGAGTCACAGGCACAGCCCACTGACTGCTGAAAAGTGAGAATTTTCTATTTGTAGGAGGCTAAAATTGTTGGAAAAATGCTTTTTGTAAAACGCAACCATTCAAACAGAACCTGCCTTTTGCCTTTAGTTGGTAAAAACTGACAGAAGGTGACACTGAACTCAGGTGCAGCTTCGTTGCTGAGAATTTAAAAAGCTTAATTCTAACCAAAGTCATATTTCGGAGGAGAAGAGTATTTTGGTGCTCGCGGTGTTGCCCTCTCCTGGACAAACCCAGAGCTGTGTCAGTTCTGCTGACCGTAGGTAATCTTCGCGTTCCACGCGAATGGTCTTCCCGCTCTTGGTCTTCAGAAGAAATTGCAGGTTATCAAAATAGCAGCCTCAGATAACTCAGCACCGCAGAGAACAGGCCCGCGATTTCGGCTGTGTTCTGGTCTCCCACAGACATACGTGTCCGAGCTCTAAGTCCAACTGGGCAGCGTCTCAACGGGAACAATTGCATTTAAGCCGACCTAAAGCTCCCGAGCTGGTGACGCGACGCTCGCCTGCCTCCTCTTCGCACACACCCGCCTCTGCCTTCACACGGTTGTGCTTTTTTGGGGATGAGTAATACGTTTCACTTGAGGGTTGTCAGGAGCCTTTATACAACATCAGGTTGAGATCGTTAAAGGACGGAGCTCGTGCCGTGGGGGACAGACAGACCGACTGTCTTGTGTGGGCTGCTCACGCCGGCCAGCACACAGTTCGTTTCGTCCACGCTGCCCCCGAGGGTCAGCACGGAGGAAACGGTGTACGCCTTCCAATCCTCTGACCAAGTACAAGTCTTGAAACGTGTGTCTTTGGCTTAGCAACATCTGGCCAGCTGTTCAGCTCTCTTTTGGAAACGGTTCTGACCCTGAGAGCTACCTGGTTCTGTGTTTTGCAGCTGGCTGAGCTGCGGGGGGTGCCTCGAGGCCTCTACGACGGACCCGTCTGTGAAGTGTCGGTGACACCGAAGACTGTCACACCAGCGTCTTCAGCCAAGACATCTCCTGCCAAACAGCAGGCCCCCCCCGTGAGGAACCTGCACCAGTCTGGATTCAGCTTGTCTGGTACGTACGTTGCTTTGAAACCACAGCTCGTTCCTGCGCCCTTGCTGTGAATGAATGCCGCTGAAATTGGAAGGCAGCAAGAGAGACCGTGATGTGGTTTTCGCTTGGAGATTATCCCTTTAGAAAGGAGGAAGGGCAGGATAGGAGCTAGCATAAAGTCCTGCTTCTTTTCATGGCACAGCGTGAACGCTGCGTTGCCTCCGGGGCTCGGTCCTCAGCCGGGTGCCTGGGGGTGGGGCAGACGGCACCAGCTTCAGCGGAGCTCTGCCCGCTGAGACCAGCCTTGGGTCTGGTATGTGGCAGATTTGATTTCTCAGTCTGCTGGTCCACTACAGCAGGGGAAAAGTACAGGAAGGAATGGAAAGGCTCGCTAAGCAAAAAGCATATAGCCAGCTGGTGTCTGCGGGGCTGAGTGGCTCCAGTGCTCGGGGCAGAGAGATTAGTGCACAACAGGTTTCAGCAGAATTAGGGTCCTGGAGGGCAGTAAGGGCTTCTCCTCCAGGGATGGTGCATTTTGTGGACGCCGTTGGAGCCTGGCCTGAGGACTGGACAGGTTTCGGTGCAGCCGTGCTCTCCTGACTCCCTTGTCCCACACCTTGCTCCTCTCAGACCCTCGCTGGCACAGGGGACCTGACGTGGCTTCTCTCTCCCGCAGGGGCACAGATCGACGACAACATCCCCCGCCGCACGACTCAGCGCATCGTGGCACCGCCTGGCGGACGTGCCAACATCACCAGCTTGGGCTAAGGACCGGCCCCTCCTGTGCCCGCCTGGCAGACCAGGGGATGCGGCACCGGGAGACCCTTTCTGATCCTTTTAGAGCCTGTGACAGTTACTGCGGGCAACCAGTGAGCGGGGGGCTGAAGTAAGGCGCCTCTTTCAGCCCCCTCAGATTCCCTCCTCATCTTCACCAACCCCTCTCACTTCCCCCGTCAGCCCCTACACATTTCTAAAGAAACCCTGTTTTGGCACCTCTGACACACAGAAATAAGTGTAAGGAGGGTGTTTGAGACATGTGGCCTCTGTCCCATTCAGCATCTTTCTTTTAATAAAGGAAGGATAAAGTGAATTTCCCGGGAGCTGCCTTTAAGACACACACGAAAAAGGAACAAATAAATAATAAATGTAAAAAAATAGCGCTTTTTTTTTTTTAATGTCAAGCAGAAGAGTAGCTCAAGGGTTTTAAACTGGATATTCGGCAGGGTTCTGTGGTCCAGCAGAGCAGGTGGGCAGGTGCGGGGGGACGTGACTGCCAGCCTGTTTGCGGCTGTTCCCCGCCACCTCTGAGGTCACCCAATAGCTGCCGAGAGAGAGAAACAGCACTAGGAGCTGCCGGGGCGCGTCGCCCCCCGCCGTCGGGTGAGCCAGCATCGTTGGCGCCTTCGGTTCCGGCGGTTTGTTGCGTCGTGGTTTCTTTTTTCCTTCCGGATTTTGCTGCAGATTAGGTCCTTGAGGAAACTTTTTGGGTTTTAATGTTTGTGTGTGTGTTTCTAGTATGTTTGTATCGTGTTTACCAAGCCTTATTCGAGAGCTGGGGATCTCGCCGTTCTTCCCAGTCCTTCCTGAACCTCACTGAATTCCGGGCTCCCGCCGCTGCCGCCCTGGTGTTTCAGGTGTTCCTAGCTTGTGTCATTCCAGCCAACTTGCCACTTAGCTGCAACAGGAGCAGGTTCGGAAGCTGCGATCTTCAGGTTCGGCCTTGAGCTGGTGCAGACAAAGGAGCTGGAATCCAGCTGAGGAGCTGGGACAGCTCTCCGGAAGTTTGTTAGCAGTGAGTTTGTCTTCTGTTCCTGGAGGTGGGACTTGCTAAACCGGGGACAGTGGGCAAAGAGCTTGTTGCCTGAAAGATTCCTGTAGCCGCCCCATGTCCCTTTCCTGGCCGTTGGTGGTTATTGAAAGCTTTGTGAGTGCTTACCTTCAGCTCTCATGGGAAGGCTGGCCCGTTGGCGTGTGCCTCAGCACCTGCAGCAATGCAGCTAGTTGCCCAGTTACCCAGCTGCTCTAACTGGGAGCCTCAGAACAGCTCCAGGCATCAGCAGCAGCTGAGAGTCTCTCCTACCTGCTGTGGATTTCAGTCCCTCATTCCCTCGGGAATCTGCCTTTGTGCAAGTATTCATCAGAACGCCCCGGGGTGCCCCAGCCTTCTTCAGATGCCTTTCTCAGATTAGAAAAACCAACGGCCATGGTTGGTCCTTGAGTGAATTTGGGAGTCCCAGCTTCTGTGGTAGCCAGCAGGATCCAAGCATTCCGGTATCTTGTGGGACTGAAGGTCTTTTAGCCCTAGTGCTGGAGACTCCTTCCTTTCAGGGCATGGAGAATGCATCTGCACCGTCAGATTCCCACTTGGCTGGCAGGCTCGGCAGCCCCAGGCACGTGGCCGGTCTCGGCACGGAGAGCTTTCCTCCCCGCGGGTGGCACAGCGTTGCCTCCACTGTCCCTGGGCCCTGGCACCTGGCTGCATCTTCTGCTTTATCTTCTCGTTGTGCTTCGCCCTTGGTTTTCCGTAGCTGCATTTTCTGAAACGGTGTTTCGGGTTCTTCTAGGGAAAAAACTGTGTCTGAAGGCTTTTAAGAAACAAGTACCAAATCTGTACTTGGGAATTACCAACGCTGGGATAGGCAAAGGGTCTGGAAGCTACCCAAAGCCTTTCAGCTTCAGCACCTCATTCCTTCAGGCCCCCTTGAACACAGAAGTTAAGAGAAGCGTTGCCGTGTTCCTCCGTGCGTTTTGCTTTAGCTTTAACTCTTGGGTCTTTCTCAAAGAGTTTGCACTTTGCGAAGTAATTTGTGAACTTAATATACATTGCAGGTGTTTTCACTTTTTTTCCGCCTGTATATTGAAATCAATTTGAAAGAGTTGGGGAAAAAATAAAACCAGAATTGCAGATCCACCTCAGTTCTGCGCAACACTTGCAGCTCGTCAGTATTCACTTAAGTCTTCCTTCTTTTTCCTTCACTGACTCCTGATGACTTTTCAGTCCTAATTTCTTCCTCAAAAGAGAAAAAAAAAATCACAAAAAAAGATTTTTGCAGGCTGTGTAAGCATGTTTTTTCCTGTGAGAGCTCGTCTGCTTTGTGTCTGTTTAATGAATGTCATATGTAAATGCTTAAAAAAAAAAAGACGATGACTTAATTAATTAATTAACCGCAGTGACTTGAAGCTCTAAAAATAAATTAAAAAAAAAAAAAGTAGGATTTAATACTAGCTGGATCTAACCCTTGGATTTGTGATTGTGAACCATGAGTGGAGGAGCTGTAAGTGCTAAAGCTGATCATGTGTGTAGACAAAAAGAAGTACTGATACCTGACCCTGCTCTCAATGGTGAAAAGAAAACACCCCACCCCCCCCATCCCCGAGTTGTGTGTGTTACCTCCTGAGAACTCTGTGTTATATTACCATGGGAGCTCCTAATAAAGAGAAAACATTGTTGTTTCACTAGGTGCACGTGTGGATCCGGAGAACCATCAATCCCA